GAGATTGTGTATAAGAATTTCAAGATTTAAAACGTCAATAATTAATTGAGTAGATGAAAATTCGTTTAATTGTAAGATCATTTTGCAAATTAATTAAAGGAAAGAAATAAGTAGTGATTTTACCTACACTTTGTTTAAATAAAAAAAAATTATAAAAATGTCTACATACTATTTCTTTATATTTTATAACACACAAGAAATGGGCAGGAATAAATAAGGTTTTAATATGATATTATTCAGTTTTTTATAATTTTCCAAAATAAAAAAAAAAACAAAAAGAGAAAATAGAAACCTTTAATTGAATTTTGATTATCAGGAATACGATTAAGATTGACTCCCTATGTGGGGTAACATGACAAAAACTTGAAGCATCAAAAAGTATAAAAAAGACAGTCAGCATAGATGGCGGTCAACTGTTGAGTTGAAAAGTGCACAAGAAGACTAAAAACAAAGGTCCCAGCGTGTTCCAAATGCAAATGCAACGAATGCTTTGTGATTGAGATTTGAGAATAACACATTTGAAAGCAAAAGAGCGCTTAAGTCCCATCATCTAGAAAGGCTAGAAATTCTGCTAATTATTTTTTAGTGCTCACTCCCCTGTCCCTCTTAAGCCTCCCAATGGTCCAAACTTTTGAAATTCTTGGCACAATAATATTTTTCCAATTTCCAGCCCTCATCTTATCCCATTTGATGGGTTACGGCTTCACGGACTCCATTTTCAACCATCCTGGACTGTTATTATCATTATTAGTTTTGAATTTTAAGGACATTATTAGTTATGATTTTTTTAATATAAAAAGGTGCATTCAGTGTATTAATACTATTTAAAGTGACAGAAGATTTTAATATATTATTATTATTGCTATTTTCATGAAAACCATGAAACAAAAAAAAAAAATAGACACGCGAGAGACTATAATTACATCAACAAACATATATGTCTTCCTTGGCGTAAAAGGAAAATAAAAGACAAACAGACACAATATTACCAAGAAAGTGAAAAGGAAAACAAAATAGCAGGGGCAAAAATGGAAATCCATAACCTAAAACAGCGGAGCATATCATTTGCATACAATATTTCCGAGTGTTCTTGTGTCAATGGCAACGTCCATGGTACAACTCATTTGGGTAGACTTCTTCTTCTTGATCACCTTCATGAGATGAATCTTCCCATCCAACTTTGAAGAGCTGGTGAGGGTTAGAACCCCGGCGCTAATATCTCTTCCCAACTCATTAGTGTTTGGCAAACCGTTGGAGCTCAACTCCACCACAACATCTACCTTTTTCGTCGATCTAGCCCTGGCTCGAGCCTTCTGAATAGTGGCCTGGCCAACCGTTATGCCCCTGTACGCGAACGTGACAGAACCACCTTCATATTTATAGTGACCAAAGTTTGTGTTCTTTACCGTGAATTGAGTATCCATTCGCAAATCAAACGAAGGGGAAGCCTCGGTTCCAACGTTGAAAGTTGCAAATGAACCTGACCGCACCCGGAACTTCGGGTTTCTGATGCGCATAACCGTTAAGGCAAAAAGCAATATGATTCCGGTTTGGAACACAGCAAATAATACAATATACAATAGGCACTTCATTCGCTTCTTTTTCTTTAGCTCTTTCGAGTGAGCCGCGACAGACTCTTCGTCACTTCGTTCATGGCCATTGGCAGCCGGTGCCAAAGGATATGGGGATTGACTCTTCGCCTCCATGGTTTTTTGTATGCTAATTCACAAGCTGAGAAAAATTTTCCAAGCCCTTAATAGATTGAAGAATGAGATGACAAATGTGGGCTTCTTGGCAAAGTATTTATAGCCTGATAAATGATGGTACATCTAGATGGATTTGAGTATTTGGTAGAGGAAATTAGCAAACACTTGGGTTGGAAAAAAGGTACTAAAGGACACCTCTTCTTGTACTATTAAACAAACGCGTTAGGTGTGTAGGCGGGCTTGAAACCTTGCGTCTTTGGCTTACCACTTATGTTGCTATTGGATTAATACCTCGCAAGAAAGTGATTGATTTTTTTCTTATTTTTCTCGCTTTAATAGTAGTAGAAACTTCTACTGAGAAAATCATGATTCATGGGTAGACCATCTAAAGAGAACCAGTAACAGCCCAATCGCATAGCACCATTCCAAGGAAATATATATATATATATATATATATATATATCTTGCAAGCGCTATAGTAGACACCATTTCTTATTATTTCTTCATTTCGAAAGGAAACCTTTAATACTAACATTTTTTTTTCATTTCCGGTTAACACGTATGGTAAATTTTTTTTACAATTTTTAGATTATAGAAAACTAGTAAACATTATAATAAAAGAGAAAATTATGAGAAATGGTCATTCTCATAAGTCTATTTTAGAAACATCCTTCAATATAAAATTAATTATTTTTACAAAATTTTAGTCATAAAATGATAAAAATATACTTAAAATCATTTCAAACAAATTAAATGCGTTCAACTTTTCTCTCCACCATTTGTTTACTATACACTTTATTCTGTTGTGCTTCTCATTTCTCTCTCTCATCATTCGACTTTTTCTAATTTTACCACTATCATTATCTTTTTATTTATTTCTCGTCATCTTACCATATCGTTGTCAACTAAAATGCATGATATGGAGGGTAACAAAATATTTTTGGATTTATTAGTTTACATTTACAAAACCCTCTATCGTGTATCTATAGACCAAAAAGTATGATATTGTAAGTAACAACAGATTCTTGAGTTTATTGGTATTAAGTTTTTCAATGATTCAAATATGGTAAATATGCCTTGGTGTGTAATATAAGTAGGAAAAAGGAAACTTTGATGTGTAATATGTATTGACATGTAACATTTGGTGTTGAAGCTTTGACTTCGACATGTAACATCTAGTGTTGAAACTAGTGACGAAATTAGATTTTCATGTTTGAAGGGACAAAAATAAGAAATTCAATGCTTGTAAGAGCAAAATTATATTTTAAAAAAAAAATGGTGAGTAAAACTATAAAATTTGAAAAAAAAAAACAAAGAACAATTATTAATTTTAAAATTTTAAGGGGGTGAGGACCCCTAATAGCTTCCCTCCCTTCACTTCTGACTGAAGCTTTAACCTTAACGTATAACATATGATGTTGAAGCTTTGACTTTGGTAAGTAACATTTGTTATTAAAATTTTGGTATGTAACATCTTCTGCTTTGGTCTTGAAATTTTGATCTCAGCATGTAAAATCTCATGTTAAAGTTTTGATCTTGGTGTATAGCATCTTCTGCTGAAGTAGGTAACATCTGCTTAGGCTTACCATGTCATTTTGTTTTTTTTTTCTTTTATTAAGCATAACAAGTAACTTACTATTTTATATTTCACTACAATATAAACTTTTTAAGTTAAAAGGTGTAACAACTTTTTTTTAACTGTAATAAAATTTTTTTGAACATGACACGTATTAACAACATTTTTTAAATATAGCATGTAACTTGTTTTTTATCTTTATATTTCATTAGAATATAAATTCTTAGAATTAAACGCTTTCACAACAAAGATAAAATTTAAAAGAAAAAAAATTGATATGAAAATGAAGATATATTAAAGAATTATTCAACGTTAAGTTATTGTTGAGATGAAATAAATTTACGTAAAAAAATATTATCTAAAATCTTTTAATTTGAATAATTAACTTTTAAGTTATTTAATTTATTACATTTTTTCTTATCATAGAAAAAAATTTTATGTAATAATTTTTTTTCAATATGATATATAACACATAAACTTAAATATGAAAAAATTTCATTAAAAATAATTTTATCTATAAAATTTCTTTATTAAAAAAATTATTTTCAAAAACACTTTATCTTTAAAGTTAGAAAAAAAAATCGTCCTTGCATAAAGTCTTAAACATTATAAAACATTACGCAACTTGTCACGTTCACTGGTATTGTTTTTGGAGCATTTGTACGTTTTGATGATTGTTTGGACCCACAAGGGGGCCCATGCTTTTCAAACTAACTACGAATTCAATAATTCCGCCATGCTTAAAATATAGCCTCCCTCAACGGTTCAACACATTAAAGAAAAGCCAACGGCTTACCAAACTAACGTCTTCATCTAGAAGCCGGAAAGTGCTGTGTTTATTGTTTCAAACAAGAAAGGAAAATGCCACGAACGAGGCAGCGATGCCCTTCTCTTCTAACATTTGCGTGTTGAGATTCTTAACGATGTTTTATTATATTCATATGTTATACCCTATAGTACAGTACGTTAAGGTTAATTTTCTGGATTAATTCGTTAGTTTAATATATAACGTATTACCTTGAACTCTTCCCACTCTCTTTATTCTAATTTCTGTCCTTAATTAGCTCGGTCAATTCCCTTTTAACTCTTTCATTATTTTCTTTCTTTTGTTTCCTTAAAGTAACTAATTAGACAATAACATAGTAGCAGTCATACCTTGGAAAATTTTAAGTTGAAATCTTTCCTTCCAATTTAACCATGTAAAAGAGTTCCATGAACAGACTAAAACAGGGGAGATTCAAGAATGGGAGGTTTTTTTTTTTTTTTTTCTTTTTTTTAATCGAAGTGAAGAAGTGCTGTAGATAAAACTTCACTTAATTAAATTACCATCTTTTCTATCCAAAGCACCACCTTTCCATTGGTTGTTTAAAGTTTTTGATGTCTGGAAATGAGAAATAAAAATTCTTGTTAAGTTGCTTATATCACTGAACAAAATTTTGATGATTATTGAATGGCTTACAAGTTTTTGGGTAAATAAAGAGATTCGCCACCTTTGTTTACTAAGTCGGACTCTTAGAACTGTAAGCTTTATCAGAAACCCCTTTTTCAGAGTTTTCAATGAATATGTGAGATTAGATTATCCATTGCACTGCTGGATCGAGGAGGTAAGCTATCTTATTTTACAAACAATTACTATTTAGTGTCAACAAATAATAAGTCAGTCACAAGTTATAGTAAAATAAATAATCTCATATATAAATCAATAAAGTCATAAAACGAATACAAATAGGGAGAAAAATACATATGATATAAGCTGTAATGCTGTGTGCATATCAGCTTGACGAATACTGAATCTTAAAAAAAATGCTTGACAAATACTGTAAAATAAAACAACCATATTCCAATAATCAAGCATTCACGCATAGATCAGCTCGATACTTTATTGGCACTTAATATCTTGAATAGCTCTGCTCGCCAAATTAACTGTCACGGTGCAGTTCATTTGTGCAGACTTCTTCTTCTTGATCAGTTTCATCAAATGCACTTTCCCGCTCAATTTGGTGTGGCTGGTCAGGGTCAAAAACCCAGAGTTAATGTCACTTGCCAAGTTTGAATTAGCCAGTATGTTGTTTGAATTCAAGTCCACGGTTACATTCATCTTTTTTGTGGATCTAGCCTTGGCTCTTCCCTTTGCAACGAATGCCTCCCCAACTTGAACACCGCTATAATCAAACGAAATGGTGGTGTTATCAAATTTGAAGTGACCGAAATTTGTGTTCTTGACAGCAACTTCAGCATTGAATTTCATGTTGAAAGAAGGAGAGTTTGGGGTTGAGGTGTAGGCAATATCCTCAACTGTGATAGAGCGCACCCTGAACTTGGGATTTTTGATGCGCATCACCGTAAGTGAAAAGACCAATATGACTATAGTCTGGAAGACGACGAAAGCAGCGGCATATGCAAACAATTTCATGCGTTTCTTTCGCTTGAGCTCTGCAGCAGACTCCATGTCTATATTTTTCTGTTGGTAATTCTGCTCTGCCATTGCTATATTCTCGATTGTTGTCAGAAGGGACTCTTTTTCTCTTCCAATTGGGTCTTTTGAGTGCTTCAGTGGATGTGAAAGAGGGTTTGGTGAGGATTGAGAGCTCGGTGTGAACCGTATATATAGTTGTTGCTTGCATAAGTTTCAAAGACTAGTTCATGGGACAAAAGTTCCTTGCTTGAAAATGTATTAGCCAAGTTCCCAAGCGTGTCCAGATTAAGGGCTATAGTTCAAGTAGAAGGTTCTGTCGTTATTATATTCTAAAACAATTGGAAAAGTCACAAACCAGAATCCACACCTAACTAGACTGGAGGGCTACTGATCACACCGTCTATCAAACTTTGGCAAAGAACAGTTCAAATCCTCCTGTGTTTATAATACTATTTTTGATCGACTAGCAAATACTTATATTTTAATATCAGACCAAAAATATTCCAGATTGTATTTGTTCATGAAAATTCGAAAAAAAAAATTTGTTCCTGCGCAGGGATATGCAGTGAGATCAGTATAGTAAAACTCGAGGGATCCTGTGTTATGTTCTGGCTCGCCCAAATTAAAACATGATACAGGTCAAAAATATGCTTGCTATTATTTTCCTGGCATGATTCATTGCGTAGGTTTTGAATACTATACTCAATACAAATTCTTGTGATTGTGCATAAGCGTGACTATCACGTTCAAACAACAAAAATCATGAATATATTGTAGTAGTACAGAAAAGGCTTTCTACATCTTAGCATTCTACTTTTGCACTATTATCATTATTCACTACTAAAAATTCTTCATGAACTAATATTTTTGTACCTGACCCACATTGAAGTCGACAATGGTATACTCCCAATTCTACTTTTACTTGAGCTAGTATAGTCAAGTATCCGAGACAGTGATACTCTTTGTCATCCTTTATGCCCCAAGAAAGAGAAATTGGAGCTAGAACGCAGCTCCATCGCACTTTGGTGGTCCATTGTTTCAGGTGTATCTAGCATTTACATGTTTGGGCATTGATATCAATTTATTTTCTTCTATTCCCTGGTCTCTCTCTTGACTTCATAATAAAAAGCAAAGCTCATTCCATTATGTTGTCTTCAAAGAAGGAAATAAAATTGTTGTGGCCAAATTAAAGTGTCCATTTCAGGAATCGTGACTTCCCCTAGTTTCTTCTCTTCTTTTTTTCAATAACAAGTATATTCTGGTTTAACAAGCATGGGAGAGTTGCAACCTTTGAAGAATAGTAGTAATTTTCCAGGGTACAAGGAGGACCGAAATTATGGACCTTAACCCATCAATGGTTAGTTGAAAAATTAAGGTGCAAACAGCATTTCCCCCGAACTAAAGCAGCCTTTTGAAGACCTTGCTATCTTAATTTAACGCTTGGATGCTGGAAGACCCTGCATCTTACTCAATAATCATGCAGCAGCTTCCAGGAAGATTCACTAAAACAAGGGAAACAGTAAATGGTTTCCCAAAATAAAAGGACCGTGTGGAAAATGGTCATGTAAAAAATATGAGATCAGACTGTGCCACTTGAACGCGCTTGAGCAAACTTGACCATATTTTTTTTCACTTTACAGAAGCTTCGGATGTTTGAGAAACATGTACACTAAATGATGGCGTTTCTCCTCTTCTGCTTGCCATGACAGAACAGAAGTTTCGGCTACTACACTCCAATCTCATGTTGTGAATCTGTGAAAGCTGAAATCTGAGTAGGCCTAAAGTCAAAATCTCAGAGCTCTCGACGCGTTTGAAAGCGTCTGATATGTGCTATGGCATTCTCACGCCCTATCACTTAATTGAGAGAATTTTCTAGGAAGGTGTTTGTATGAAATGTCAAGTGTCAAAGTATGCTTACGTACGAGTCCCACTTCGACTCCATGATCATATCCTTCGCATCCCTCAAAAGTTTCAGATTAGCAGGTTGCTTTGGTTTAAATTTAAAAGAAGTTCTCATCATCATGGCTAAAAGCGATGTAGAGTCTGCACTCTGCCCTGGAGCATTTAAAATTAAGAACGCAAGCGAAAAGAATGCTCTGGTTAGCTGCTTTTGTTGTCTTCCGGGCTGTGATCATTCTGGTCTTTGCAGTTACAATGATGCGTATCAAAAATCCAAAATTCTGGGTTGACTCTGCTGCGGTTGAGGACCTCCAACCCCATCATTTAACATGAAATTTATCGCCCGATTGCCTATAAGAAGAACTTACAAAATTTTGATCGGTACAAATTTGAAGTAGCAACTGTTACTTTGGCAAGGGCAAGAGCAAGATCCACAAAAAAATAAAAAAAAGGGTGAACGTGCTGTTGTGAAAGATTCAAACTCAGGCAATGTTCACACAACCTGCAGCCAGTCCAACTAGAATGGTAAAGTGCGTCTGATGAAAGTGATCAAGAAGAAGAAAATCTGCGGAGATGAACTGCACTATGACAGTTGATTTGGCAGAAGAAATTGTGCAGATATAAATCGCAATTTGCCAGGCTTGATGCTACTTTATGTATTGATACAATTAATGATATAAACTATACTGCATTAGTTTTATATATTTTAAACAATGTTCAAATCCTATGAGCTGAAACGTAAGTCAATTTGTAAATGGATATCAAGAAACTGACTTAACGTTGTCCTATTGGCACTGGAATATTTGCATTATGGGAAATTTTTTTCTTTGGTATTCAAGTTTATCTCCATATATACTTGGATTGTAAATAAATTTTGGAGAGAAGTTTCTTCTATGACGTAAAGTGAATTATTTATGGGACTAAGGTCTTGTAGGCATTCATAACAAATATTTTGAATAATATAGACTTACGAATTGTATGGCCAACCAAAATTTGCCAAAGACTAAAACATAAAAAAAAAAATTTATATATACACTTGAGTATTTATCTCATTAATTAGTGTATAATCTCATGTTTAAAGAATAAGGTTCAATTTTTTTTTCCAAATTCAAAAAAAAAAATTATAGATTTCTATTATTTCTTTTAATTAAGAAGATGTTAAACTTAATTCATTAGTTACACATACAAAATAAAAACTGCTTACTTTTTTAAACCATTGAAAAGAAGATAATAAAGGAATAAATGTATACTTGAAAATTTTTTATTTTTTAAAAGAAGTTTATATAAATTTAACGTGCAACCAATCAAAATTAAAGCCAACTTGGCAAGCAATCATTCTTGGGCTTCACCTATTCCAAACTTAAAACCAAACGAACCCAATTTGAATGGATGTCCCAATTATTTAAATTCCAAAATACTAAAAAATGAGCGGCCCAAAACTTGAATATCAAGTGACCCGAATACATCTAATATAACCTAAGCTACACAGTCCGCCAAGGTTGGCGAAATAGTTGACTTCTAGTCGAAATGAATTGAGATAATTTATCTAAAACCTTACCCAATTCACTGGAATAGTTAACAATCTGAACTCAAGGTAGTCCAAGCTTAGGGATCAAAGGGGTGAGGGGAACAAGTGAGTTGAAGGGCTGTGGGAAGGGAGGAGCGAGGCTGGAGCTGTGTTGAGGGTGTTTTAGGGATCAAAGCGGGTACCCTGCAAAGCGGAGGGGCTGTGTGGAGTGGGTGGCCGAGGTGTGGTGAGTATGGGAAAAGCAAATGGCAGAGGGGTTTTGGAAGGACAGTGGGACTTCATGAGGAGGCCGTGCGTGGTCGGGTCTGTTCTGGCGGCTCGAAGCTTGATTGCATAGGTCTTGCCCTGTGGATTTTGTGTGTAGAGAAGAATTCTCTGTTCTTTGCTTGTTTCGAGCTACTATGGTGGCATGGTTATTGGTTTCTTTTGTTGTAAGTTGGTCCATAGTCTGTGTTCATATACGTCAATGTTTATATGCTCCCCTGTTTTTTGTTTCGGCTTCTGGCGATCCGCTTTTGAAAGCGAATTGATGTATGGGGCGCAGTGGACATGTAAGAGTGGGGTGAAAGATGTTTCTACATCTCCTATAGAGGTGGAATAGGAACCAAGTATTGTACAGCTTTGGAGCCCATAACCAGCCCCTATACTGGTTTAAGGGCATTTATTCTTTTTTTGACAAAAAGGTAGTCCAAGCTAAAATAGCAAAATCTCAAACCCAAAAATTGATTATGCTTCAATTTGATTTTTCTGTTTATTTCCCCAATGCAAACATCTCGAATTCTGGATCTCTACAAAACAGAAAGCAAAACAAAGAGATAAGGGTTTCAATGCCAGACATAATCTGTCATTTCGAAGCGAAATCGTGTAACAGGAGATAAGGAGCCATGGAAGCCATAATATCAATTTTATTTTCCTTTCTTTCTGCTCTTGGGTTTTGAAATTGAAGGTTGTAATTTTTTTTTCTTAAGCTCATTGCGTTAATTCTCTTCAATTCTTTTTTCTTTCTTTATCAATTTCCATTTTTTTTCATTTACACTAACAAAATTTTTATATGCCAATTTCTTAAAATTTATATGACTAAATCTTGCATATGAACTAAGCATTCGAGTACTTAATTTATTAGTTAGTATATAAACTCTTATTTAAAAATAAAATTCGAATTCTATTTCTCTAATGAATTGTGAAAAGTTTCCATTTTCTTTTTGGTTATATAGTCACTAACTCACCATAAACTGCTTTAGGTTTTATTGCTCTGAGTTGAATGACTTGGATTAATCTGGAAAAGTAAGCAAGAAAACAGATGCATACATGGCGCTTCCTTTACACTTTGTTATAATGTAACGTTTACAAAATGGTTCAAGTTCAGCTGTACGTTTGGGCTCGTAATTTTGGGATGAAGGATTCAAAATCATTGAAACGTAAAGCACTTTATTTTGGCTGGCAATGGTCGGCATCCCTAAAATCCACATAACACGTTCTATAATGAGGGAAAAACGTAGTTGATGAATTACTAAATTCATATTATAACATTTTAAATTTATATACCTAAAAATGCTTATTGGATGTGATATCGCATGAAAATATTCCTCTACCTTATATATAGGTTTGAATTTAGAATGACCCTAGAAATTAATTTAAAATTATTTAAAGGTATTTAAATTGTTTCATTTTAATGTTTCTAATTTTCATATCTATATAATATATCTA